AATTATGAGTTTATTTCGATTTTCCATAACTGTTTCAGTCAGAACGTATATATAAAAGTTTCAAACAATTATTTTCGAAACATTTTCAATCCCTAGTAATAACATTAACCCCTTGCCGTAGAATTCATTTCTTAACTATGATCGACACAATGCTTATTCCATGTCTACGTTTACTACACTTAATAATGGAAAAGTAATATAAATTTAAACTTTAAAAAAAATAAGTAACACTTAGATTTGTCACAAACACAATTTAAAATTGTCGTCTCACACGATATTATAAGTCAAAGTGTTAACACTAGATTTACGGAACTTGCCAATTTGACGGATATTAAATTCTTTATACATTCTTTAGTAACAGTTTAATTCGATTTTGGTTTGTGCAATTATGCAAATACGCATTGTAATAGTCTGGTTATAAAGCTGTAATTTTCGCTACCTGCATAAATGAATACGCAATTTTCTAGAAACAATGGAATAAAGTACAGAATAAAGTCCATAAATCTAGTGTTAAAAATATGCACGTAACGAAGATGTATGTGTAGCCAATGCTTGCTGCAAGAATCAACAAAATTGGCAATGAAAGAATGAACGAAGATGAACAGAAAGATTGGTTTTCTCGAAATATTTATTGGTCGAGTGTTTCGGAATTTATGGTTTCAATCATGAAAAGTTCTTATTTCTGAAAGTGTCTTTGTCGTCACTGCCTTTGCTCTCTACGTTAATTATAAAGATTTCCTTTCACCGGTACTCGCGTTTCCAACTATGGTTGCGCCTGTTGGACCCCATGGAGAGACTTTTCTTGAGGCCATAGGCGGAAAGAGACTTGACAGCTGTCCCCTGAAAGGACCTCCTCAAGGCACCAGCACGGTTGGGGCGCAGCAACAGCATGCATATGTTTTTATCATGCCCACGTGCACGTGTTTCAACTTGTCAGGAGCACATTCGATACTTATCGAGCTTCCGTTTTCCAACTAAATGTAAAAGTGACTTGAAATTTCGAAACGCCCAAGTACTATTCGTTGAAATAAACAGGCAAGCTGTCTAGTGCCATGTATACCGTGCAAAGAATTAAGATAAATATCAATTTTTCGTCGGACTAATTTAATTTACAGATTAAGTCGTATGTTGATTATATAATATTTACACTTAAGCAACAACATTTTTGATATTAATAAAAATAACATTAAACTATACTTTTTTTTGTAGGATTTTCTACAATGATTTAATCTGATAAGAAGTTTTTCATTGATCGCTACCATTCGTGTACCTTCTATTTATAATGTTTTAAATGTAGTATTCAAAATTGAACTCGCTTTGACATCTTATAAAATGATTAATGATAAAATAATAAAATCTTAAATCTATGACGTCTCATGAAATGTAAAGTATAAAAGAAGTAAAATGCATCGATTCAAAGAGTTCCATCGAATATAATGTGTTTTGTAAACAATACAATATTTTTTATCGAAACAACAAATACGATTAAATATATCTTCCAGCTTGAACAAAATATGTTTCGAATATAGAAATAAAAAGAAGCCAATTTTACAAATCAATAGACGCATTATCTAAAACAAAAATCACTTTCACTGGCCATGCTTTTAAATTACAAAAATATTTCCATGGTATGTAACCGTTAATATAACATGAAGTTACATTACACTAGAAAGTATTCGAATCTTCATTTTACCAAAATGTAACATTTTCCACAACCCCGTGAACGTAATTGTTAACTCTCGGCCTTATAACAACGTGTCCGACACGTGGCGAAGATTTTAAACAAACTTTAACAAACATAAATATTATTCATCTCTTTTCAATTCAAATGAAACATTACTCTTCTGTTATCAGTAATTATACTTTGGAGTAAACATAGACATATAATATGCCTAGAATTTTTCTCCCTTTTGAATAAATTATTAATTGCGAAATGGTTGTATCGATCATAGTTGAGAAGTATATCGCAGAGTAAAGGGTTAATAGTAGCTGAATCGTTTGATAATAAGAAAAACAAATTCATCATCGCGGTTCGTTTAAATAGAAAAATATTGTTAGCGCGATTAACGCGAACAGTCCATTACTGGCGCCAGTTCGTATAATTGTCGTTTTATCGCTAAATCGATTTGTTCGCGCCCAACAGCCCTTTCCACCATTTTATTCGATTTCTCGGCGTCATTACGCATTTTACGTCTCTCCGTTTGCACCAGAAAGACCACCACCCGGAGACTATAAAAATTTGATGGTGTTACGGTGCCGTATTCTTCCTTTCTTTCTGCCTTCCTTTCTTCTTTCTTTTTTTTTTATTTATGCAAGCCTTTAAGGCCCCGTAGCACGGCCGAGTGCAACTGCAATCACGAGCTCGCGAATCGACCGATTTTATCGTTATAAATATTCAAAAGGGATCGAGTGCGAATGCTATTGCATCAATAGCCGTAAATTGATTAACTGACCTGGAAGACTTAACTTTTTCCGCAGCCCTTACGGTTCTATTTCAGTTGTTTGCTTTTTTTATGTTGAAGTTGTATACGCGAAAATTTGCTAAGGTTTATTGGTTTCGTTGCTTAGTGTTGTTTGTCGGTGTCTTTTTTATTTTGTACATGTATATGCAAGTTTATTGTCATTACTATTCTCTTGATACGACAGTTTATAAATGTAAATACTGTTCCTTTTGTTTTTCCTTCATGTTATTTAACAATTATGTGTGATGTATTAACGTACGTATATTAGTGCCATTATTTAGGTATTATTTATCAGATTTTCTTTTTAATTAAATATAGTTGATTTATTAATGTAAATTGAAATAGCTGGAATATTTGTTTTGATTTTATGAAAATTCTATTTTAATTAGAATTTCTAGTATTTAAGGTCTGGTCTTTTATATTTATGGTATATCACTAAACAATTTAGACCAAACAATTTAATCATTTACATTAAAATTCGTAATTTACAATTTATAATTAAATGATTATACACGCGGAATGTTTAAATGATATGAAGTAAGTAAAGATATTGCCATTTTCTTTATACATAGAATATATTCTTTATATGTATATATAGTAATATATTCTTTGTAGTAATATATTCTTTATATAATATATTATTTTCTCTGCATAGCCATAGTTATTGCAGATATTTATCTAATCTAATCTATTAGACCATAAGTATTTATATAAATGTTCAATTTCAGACAGTCAAAATTTGATTATTTCATATTAAAAGCAATATTAAGCAACTAACAAAACATTCTACTTAATTAATGGATTAATGTACTTACAATAATATCTATAAAATATAAAACCATGATCTAAAAATGCTATATCTTTCATTTTACATTAAGTAAGTACTATAAATATCAACAAACATTCGTGAACTATCAAGTCAAGAATTAAACAAAATCTATAAAACATTCTATCGTATTACTCTAATCATTTCAAGTTACATAGGTTGCTGCGAAAGTTTCAGAAATTCGAAATTCAGTTGTTTATGTTATTTTCGTAAAGCTTCACAGTTAAACCCACAGAAAAAACTTCCCAGTTAACTGCATTTGACGAGTATGTCGTAATTATACTGTACGTCACTCACGTTGGTCAAACCAGTCTGTGGTTCAAAAGTGAAGAGGGACAAGGGGAGACGTTCAACTCGCAGCTCGGCCAATAACAAACACGTGCCGAAACTAATTCCGCCATTACTACGGGCCGAACGCCGCGAGTTGGACATCTCCCCTTGTCCTTTTTCACTTTTAAGTCACAGGCCGCCTTGACTAACATGAATAACGTAAAAGAGTAACATTTCCCCTTGTCCCCCATCCCGCATATCCGACGGAGCGCGTTCCAGTTAGGAACAAGCGAATTGTATATAATTCCTTGAACGATGAATTCTTTATTTTTTCAGATAAATATGTAATTTTTCTTTGTATTTTCATTAAAATATTCTCTAGGTGCATTCATCCTGCGTTTGACGAGTACACACTTCATTGTTTAATTTCATTACGCGTAAAATGAGCGATTTTTTAAAACTAAATTTCATAGTTAATAGGTTAATGTCAGAAAGTTCTGACACATCACGATGGAAAACGTATCAATGCTAAAGGAGAATATTTCACGAAACAATAAGACCATTAGTTTAAACGTATTTTTCCGAAACTTCTGCAGCAACCCACGTATCATATGATACAACGTGGATACACCGCAAATACACTACGGTGATCAGCTACTATTAAATAATCTAAGTACGCACATCGTCATTGCTAATCAGAGTCTACAGTTGTTTGTTGATCAATAGACCCCACTGTTAATGGTGGCGCAATTATAAACCAAAAGGATTTCGGTAAACTACCCGCTGCGTATCGGTCAACAGGAAAACACCTAGACGACGAATATCTGTTTAATTTCGTGTGATTTATCATCGAGTAACTGCGCCGATCGACGCTAATGCGAAGCAATAATACGGCATCGAATTACAAACGCTTGTCAGGTAATTGATTGTCCGTCCTTTGATAACAAATCCATATTGAATTCGCGACCGAAAATCAGGATTTCCGGTACCAATGCGTATTTTAGAATCACATAAAACAAGCATAGCACTATAGCAACCGGCATGTAGATATATATATATCTTCCTCGACGATACATTTGAAACGTTATTTTATTAACCTGTTCACTGTGGAATTTAATTTGAAAAATCTTTCATTTTAAAATCAAATTATAACTCAATCTCATTATGTTATTTTCATTTCTTTTGGTTTAGACCACTGTAATTTTAATACCTCGTCAGTTGTTAAGTATTCGAAATCTGAAAACCGATTAATAGGCTTACAGTAGATAAAGTGTTAAATAAACATAATATATATTATTTATTTCTCACGTATAATTAATAAATAGGTCAATTTTAATTGAAAGAATGAGAAAAAAGTATTTCCACACTATGCGGAGGACTTATAGTTGGCCTGTAATGAGTTCTACATTGAATGAGTCGTTTTTTCTTCTGATTGCAGTGCAATGCGGGTACTCCTCTCGAAACTTCCGAGACCATGGATAGTCGACGAGAAAAAGGACGACGGCTACACGGCCCTTCATCTGGCTGCCCTCAACAATCATGTCGAAGTCGCTGAACAGCTGGCACGTTCTGGAAAAGCTGACCTGGATTTGCAAAATGTCAATTTGCAGACCGCGCTGCATCTCGCCGTGGAACGACAGCACACGCAGATCGTTCGTGTACGTTTATTTCACCGGGGAAAGGAATTCACCTCTGATCCGATGCTCGGACAAACAATCCACTGAACATTCCCATCCGATGCTCCATTTTCTTTTGAAAAACGGTTTCAAACATCGAGCTCACTCTCGCAGAGAATCGTGATATCGTTTTGATGGAAAACTACCACAGTAGAGTCTTCATTGTCGGAGCTCTAGGACATGGAAATACACACTGTCGCTCAGAAATTTTGGGAGCAGACATATTTTTCGATTTAGTAAAGAATGATTTAGTAAATTATATAATAAAATAGAATTCAAATTTAATAAATGGGTTCGTAGGGACAGTTAATTCTTTTTTACCAAGTACCTCCTGTTATTAGGTCTAAATTGATAAGTAACCTACTGTTCATCTAATGAAACGATTTTCGGAATTTATGGTACTTTGACATATTCAGTAATTATTATACGCTCTTCAATTCTTAAACGATTTGTTTATACAATGAATACTCTATAAGAATTTGAAAAAACTGCCTTATAAACTATAAATTATTTCAAATATTTCCAATAAATAAAAGTGAAATGATCGATATGTTCAGAACTAGATATAAGTTTTCAATGAGCTTGTTTGTAAGGTCTAAAGTAATGGTTTTCATTAAACATATTATTCCTTTATTGCAAGAAATCAACTTTGCACCGATTTTCGATAATTAAACAATAATCATAAATCTCACTGCAGCTGCTGGTACGCGAAGGCGCCAACCTGAACGTAGCAGACAAAGATGGCGACACGCCTCTTCACGAAGCTTTGAGATATCACACGTTATCGCAGCTGCGACAGCTGCAGGACGTGCAGGACGTAGGACGTCTCCTGATGGGTCTAGGAGCGCAGGGCCAGGACAAGAAAAGCAGCTCGTTCATTGCTTGTTTCCTAGCTGCCCATGGAGCCGACCTGGAACTGAAGAACAAGAAGGGACAGACTCCTCTTGACCTCTGTCCAGATCCGAACCTCTGCAAAACACTAACTACTTGCCACAAGGACAGAGAATCGTTAGTAACCCTAATCTCTTTCGTCCCGGAAATACGACACACGTTACGGTCCATTAAGACGTTTTAGACGAATCCTTAACACATTGTGCGCCGGCTAAATATCAACTACTGAGAGCCTGAGGATCAGTGGCTATATTGATATATTTTAGGACATCTACCGAACCGTAATTTTTAACTTCTCAAATAGAATAATTAATATGATTTTTTAAATTGTATTTTGGATTTGTGTTATTGTGGGTTTTTAATTATATTTTGAATTTGTATTATTGTGGTTTTTTAATTATATTTTGGATTTGTATTATACGTATCTAAAATGTCGCTGTAATGAAGGACCAGCGGTTAAACGATGGATTAAAAAATCCCGCAATTACGCGGGTCTGGTGTACAATGAGTTATGTAACATTATTTTATTGTGCCTAGAAAGGTTAATTCATCCGTTTAGATCTGAGAAATTAGATGTTCAAAAATGTATTAGGAAACATATTTACATAATTGCATCAAGCAAAATCGACTCAAAAATTTACCGTTTTATGTTTATAAAATTCAGTATGAATCAAATTATACCCAATATTAATCGAGAACGTTTTTGAAGAATTTTGACGGTTTTTAATATTTCTTGTTGACACTAGAACTACTCAGCGTTTAAAATCATTTAGGGTATTTACCATTTTTAATGTAGCAATAATTTTCAAATAAGAAGACTGAAACTTGTCACTTTGACGGATGTTTGTAGTTCTAGTATTAACCACTGAACTGTAAAATTTAGTTTTAATAGTCTCTCGCCGCGTGTGACTGAGTATACACATCGAACGCCGAACAAATGCAAATAGCATATATTAAAGTAAAATAGCTAAAGCAAATTCAAAAGAACTACATGTCCATGCAAGAAGTTAAATAATTAATTGGTTAATAAATATTTATTCATTACATTTTCGAATCCCCAAACTTAAAGTGGTAAAGAAGATATCCGAAAAATAGAATAAATGAATTAAGTTGTTTCTAGAGTTGTAGGAAGTGTGTGGAACTTCACAATTTTGAATAAGAGTGAGAAACATTATTTAGTTTTCATTAGTATTCAAAATGTTAGTTTTTCTGAAAGTGATAGTGCAGAGATTTTTTAGAGTAGAAGACTAAACATAAAATAGCTTTTCTGTCTTTTGGTCCAGAACTTTCTATCATTAATTACCGTTACTTAACACGAATTGTGCTCAAACGAAATAAGATTATGTGTTTAAGTGTACATTGCTCGTGCGTGTAAATACTACAGATGTGTACCTGGTTCTAATTAGGTAATCTCCACGTTTTCGAAACACGGATTTACCTGTATAACACGAATCTTGTTATCTAACAAACTATCATGTGTTCTGCTATAAAGTACACTATATTGTAGTTAACTATAATATGAGTAAGTAACTAGCGTATTCAACTTTTGGGCGTTTCGTTAACATAGATATTTATTTCTTATTATTCGTACATATACAACCGGGTTTCTAAATTTCTCCTAAATAATATATTCATAGAAACGCAACTCAGATTATTGTTGGATACTAGAAAATTAGGAAATACATTTTTTATCGAATATTGATTCCAAGAAACAATTAAAAAGTTTCATTCATTCAAGAAACTATTAGATCAAAGTATTTTCAGCTGTTTTAATTGTTTTAAGTATAACTAACTTCATTTAAAATGCAAACATTGTTTTCTGAGGCTCAGCAGTTTTAATTTGAAAAGATTTTTTCTGCAGCAACGCGTATTTAATATGTGTAGCGTGTCAAATATTTGCCATGTTTCGTACATATTCGGAAATATTAATTTTATCCTAATTATATCTTCAAACAGTTTGAAATTTTCCATTTTAAACAACTTAAAAACTCTTATACGAGTAAAATCATTTTCGTTAAAAATATCAGCTTTTTTATTTAGATTAATTTGTACGTTCTAACAACAATAGATCATGAACTTTATAGTTCTACTATAAATATGCGTTTTTGATTAATAGTCTGCTGCCCTTTACTTTATTAATATTAAAGTTATTTTAATATCAAGGAACAGAAAATTGTTCAATGCTGTTGTACATTATATGTGACATATATTTTTTAAATATAACCTACAGTATATAAATATTCTAACTTTAATTGCATTTAGTTGTTAATTATGTTCAAAATTGACATCCAATTAAGACAAACAATTTATTTATAACTTCATTGCAACCCACACAAATTGTCTGTATCATATTTATTTACGTATGTTTATTACAGAAGGTACAATTAAAAACAGTGCTTTACTTTTCGGTCATAGTTATCGCAAATGCTGAATAAGGGTTAACTAACAAATGGGACAGAAATTTATTTTTACATATCTGACATTTACGCGTAATTATACTTTCAGACACAGTATTGAAACGACAGTTCCATCAGCGACGATCGACGAGTGTTTGGTCTGTTCGGATGGAAAACGTGAAATGCTTTTCAACCCCTGCGGACATGTTTCCTGTTGCAACACTTGTGCGCCAAGGGTGAAGAAATGTCTGATTTGCAGAGAAAACGTTCTGACGAGAATGAAGGTATGCATATATACATACATAAAACATTTTTGTATTGACATCTTCTTTCAATAATATTTCAATATTTCTGTGCGATAAACTTAACTTATTTCTTATATAAACTATATACACTTAATTATTTAAATAAAGATTTAATACTGCAAAAATAATAATTTAAAAAAAGATGTAGTACTGCAAAAATAATAACAGGTTATAGAATAACAAATTTTTATGAAATTGCTAAAATTATAATTACTTTCTATAGATAATTAGTAAGTTTGCACAACAAAGAATATTTAAGGGACACATGAAGCATCAAAAAATAGTAATTAAAATAAGTGGAAGTTCCTGTATCTTAATTCCCTACTATCCAAATTTTGTATTATGCCAACAAAGTGTCTTTCAATTTAAGGTTTTCCGTGACTATTTAAAAAACTGAAGTGATCTTAAATATCTAAATATCACAAATCGCTTTTCTTATTTCGCAATTATTGATATCTTAAGGGCGTTCAATATTCGAAATCACTTGAAAAATAAGCTGTTTCACTTAAATACTATAATAGATGCATAAAGAAACCAAAACAAAAACTATTCTTACAATTTTTATAAGGATTACATATTAACCAGTTAACTGCATTTGATGAGTACATATACACGTCACCTTAAAGCTTGAAATGATACTAATTCTTTCAACGATGAATTTTTTATTTTATCAGATAACCATGTAATTATTCTTTGTTTTTTCATTAAAATATATTCTAGGTACATTCATCCTGCGTTCGACGAGTACACGCTTTATTTTTTGATTTTATTGCGCACAAAACGAGAGATTTCTCAAACTAAATTCCACAGTTAACAGGTTAACACGTTGAACGCCGCACGATTTCATAGAGCAACATACACAAAATGGGAAAAATATAATATTAAATCATTTTATTAAATTGCATTATTATTATTGCATATTCTCCTAGCTGAATGTCACCGCATTAGGTAGTATTATTTATAATATAGAAATCTTTTCAAGTAATCTACGTTTAATTGAATGAACTATATTAATTCGATTTGGTTGGGGATCACCGGTGACCCCCACAGCGTTCAACGTGTTAATCGTATTAATCGATTGGTAGTTTTAGTGTTAAACATAATAGATCATAACAACGCTATTTTCAAAGCAATCTAATACTCCAACCTAACGAAAATAAAATTGTTTGTTTATAGATCGAAGAATGCGTCGTATGCTCGGATCGCAAAGCTGGAGCACTGTTTCGTCCGTGCGGGCACATGTGTGCTTGCGAAGGCTGCGCTGCCCTCATGAAAAAATGTGTCCAATGCAGAGCTCAAATTCAACACATGGTACCGCTGTCCGTTTGCTGCGGTGGAGGAGGAGATGTCACCTATGTTAAGGGTATCAATACCTCAGGTACAGTGACTTTTGCATCATTAACCCTTTGCGATCGATGCCACCACTGTGCCGGCATTTGTAATATGTCCTCGAAGTCGGTGTCGCTAGCCTGGCGGCGTGGCTTTTTTTCTAAGTAGTGTTAGTTTACGATCATGAGGTATTGTAAGTATTTATTATTTATTATTATTTATTTATTATTCTTGTAGAAAGATAATTTTCATAACATAAATTTACTTCGAGCTGGCACTGCCACCAGAAAAATGTGCCGATCACGAAGGGTTAACCCTTGAACGAGGAAACAGGGATTCAAAAACTTTATGAAACCCAAATCAGATTTTTTTCGTTTTTCTTAACACCTTGCTGGCCGGTGAATTAGTTTACAGAAAACATCTGTCAATTTTAACGCTAGATTTACGGAACATGCCAATTTGACTCATATCGAATTTTATAAACATTATTCGGTAAATTTTTGGTCGATTTGATCGCAAATACATATCCTAATTGTCTATTTTTAAACCTCCACTTTCCAAAATCTGAGTGAAATATCAATTTTTCTAAGAACGATAGGACAAACTGTACAGTAAATGTCCGTAGATCTAGTGTTAATATACATACTGTGGAGGTCCCACGTTAGCCAAGCCGACCTTTGGTTCAAAAGTGCAGAGGGGCAAGGTGACTTATTCACTCACAACGCTCGGCTTTCGGACACATACTCATTATTGACGGACGCCGAGTACTTAATTCACGTATAATATGCTAAAATGATTTAAATGATTTAAAGTAATGAATATTAATGAATCTAGAACCTTCTTATAAAGAGCTATATTACTTTCAGGCCTACATTAATGTAAGTGCAAATACAACGAAACTTATGAACAACTCGGACCGGAAAACACGTGTATACTCGTGACTGATCAGCAAGGTGTTAATAATCCTTATTCAGCAAATTTACTCCGTAATAACAAGCAGATACATATTTTAGGTTCAGTTGCAATATATAACGCATTAAATAATATCCTACATACTTTTTTATTTATCCGGAATATTCTGCATATTCTGCTGCGTATTTTCAGCGTATTTTTGCGTCTTGTTTTTAATTCAAGATTTAATATAATTCATATTTGTCCGCATATTTCCCGATATCAAGAAAAATACTTTTATACCATTTTTATTTTGCTGTAATAGTTTTCGTAGTTTATATTCTGTTTATTTCCATTTATTTGCTAATAAATCTGTTTATGTATACATGTACTTTTATGTTATTTACATTATTATTATTATACTTTTCACTGCAGGACCTAATGTTTCGTTATTTCAAGCTTTAAGAAAGATTAAATAAAGTCTAGCATATGTATTGTAGTCTAAGCAACGAAATTTTCGTTTAGAACTCAACGTAAATTATTGTAATATATATATTATTTTGTTGTGTGCAGGTAATGTATCTGAAGTAAAAAGTGATCCGGAAGAAGAACCGACAACAAGTAAACAAGCCATTGGAAGTGGAGAACCTCTTATGAACGACGGAAGCATCGACAAAACACTCAGCGATATAGAGAAACTTGAACAGCAATTACAGGACATTAAGGAACAGGTGAGCATTAGACGTTATCGTATATAATATTACACGTGCTACTTCCTCGTTGATTACGGTACATACATTGTAACAAGGCTCCGAGTGTGTTCATCGAAGCATTATCAAGAGAAATTAGGAGTTTTTCTAAGTTAATTTAAAGAATTTATAAATATTAAACGTGTTAAGAGGATTAACATAATATCTAATGTTTAAAGCAACGAATTTGTAGTACAATAATTACACTCAATAATATAAAAGGACAAGAATACAACTATTTAAAATGGTTTCATTTATTCTCGCGACAAATTATTACACGAAGAATATATAATACTGAAGCTATAAGTGTTTAAAATCTGAAAGAAATTGATGAGAACTTACCATTTATGCAACAAGTAAAAAGCTTTCATAATTTTATACTTTAAAACTTATATACAGGAAAAATTTCATAAAACTACGAAAGCTGATTTAAATTATGTATAATATTTTATAAATCTATTTACTGCAAAATTAACGTAATGAAATTGTGACATTTATGTTCATTAATTATTATTGTCAAGCAAATTGATCTGATGAATAAACTTTGACTACTAATGCATGTTATTTTCATCGCTCTTTTTTTCCCACAGACCATGTGCCCTGTTTGTCTGGACCGTTTGAAGAACATGATATTTCTATGTGGCCACGGAACCTGTCAAATGTGCGGTGACCGGATGTCGGAATGTCCGATATGCCGGAAAGCAGTGGATAGACGTATTTTACTTTATTAAACATAGAAAAATAATCTTCCTTTTAAGTGGGAGTTTCACGTAACGAAAAAATATTAAAAGAATAATTAAATATTACATCCATTTAACGATACAAACTTTATAATGAATTTTTTATGCGAATATTAATGTTTATACCAAACCTAATACTTCTTTCACGTATATAAATATGTTTCCAGAAAACAATTTAATGAATTTAAATTCATTAAATTGTTTTCATTACCTTTGCTACTTTTAAACAGGATTTGTACCATTCTCCTTGGAGCAGATATTTTCGTATGAGACTTTAGAACAATGACAATAACTTCATTTATATACATATACATATATATTGAAAAAAGAGTGATTGTAATATTGAATTATTCTTTTACTGTTCATCGGTAATTCAATGAAAGAATTTCATTTGTATGCAGTGGATGCGACCTTGATCCACAATTTTGTAACGTAATTATAATTAATTAATCAATTAATTATTAAGACAGATTATTAGTTGCAAATTAGACGAAGCATGAAATTTGAATAATGATATGCTGAAATATAGAAAATATTGGCTATCATTTAGTAATTATTCTATGCCTTGTCTTCTTTTCTTCTTTTTTAATTAAATTTTATCGATATATAATCAGTAGCATATAAACAACTGTTTTCTAGTAAATAGCATTAAGTGATAAAAACATTTATATTGTTTCCATGCTTTCATACTACTCTTTATACTGATGTGTAGCTTATACGCACAATTATCATTTAAATGCATTTGACAAAAAAGTAATCATCACTGTTATAAATATTAAAAATGAATCAGTGAATCCTTCCACAAAGCTTTTGCTTTCTTTAGTTAAATGTGACAGTTAATGGAACAAGAACATTTTTATTTGATGGCCAAATATAATCTCGTTAAATTAAATATACATTAATTTTAAGAAAGGTCAATATTATTTGGTCTTCTTTATCATTTTTTAAATCAAATCCTGATAATTTAACATAATACTATTTGAACACAATTTAATTTTATTGCTATCATTCGATGTAGTAAATCATCTATAATTTTCTTGTTCTATAGCTTAATAATTAATGCTGCCACTTGTTTTTTCTCCTTTGAAACTATATAATTTCGATTAATCTTCATAATTTTTATATTTATAATAACAATGAATAGTGCCAATTACTTTTATAAGCTGTAAAAGATTGAGTTTATTCTCAAATAACTAATTAATTACAGACGCATTAAAATTGTTAATCTTTATAATCAATGTTACTCAAGTCTAACTTACTTCCATATATACAATTAAAAAATAATAAAAATTAATAGTACTCAAATTTATAATTAGTAATGCATATGTGTAGTATATATGTACCTATGTACAACTATGCAAGTTGAACTCAATGATAAAAATAAAGAAGAGAAAGGAAAGCAAAGTTAAAAACAAAATATATATTCATCAAATACTTACACAGTTATTTTTATGAGTTACGTACGTTTTGTCAAACTTTACATCCTCTTTTTCTTAGTTTCAATCAATTCAGATTTATAATTTTAAATTTATTTCTTGTATTTTATGATACAGAAGAATGTGAAAGACAAAATTTGAATAGTTTGAATAATCTTACTGAATAATTTTATACATATCCTGTATTATACTATATTATTATATAGTAGATACATGTTACTTTACATTATTTATATTACTTACATATGCAATAACACATCACAATGTATATAAGAATAAATTGAAATATATATCTTCTGTAAACCTTTGATAAATCTTTTAATATTGAAAATATTGAAAAAGGCTAGTATCTTCAGTGTTTCACTTGTACCCATAAAAAGTAAACTATTCAAGTTTCATGTTACTCATTTTTCTGTATTTTTAAACTCCAAAGGTATTCATGTTTATATATCTCAATTGTATATATCTGCCTTGAAAAAACATTGTAGTATTGTTTATAACGATATACACGAAAAATAGTATTTACAGCATTGGAAACAAAATTTAGCATTATATACATATATATGTACAATAAACGAAATTCAATAGTATTTCAATATAATTTTATAATCACACATTTAGGGTTTAGCATTTAGATATATTATTATTTGAATATTGGTTTGTATTAGAATTATATACTTTGATATGATTACTGATTAATATTTCTTCAAACTTGAATGACATTTCTGTAGGGTATGACCATGGGTATGCTTTATAGTATAAGAATTTGTTAAATATGAAAATATATCTTTTTCAAGATATTAACAACATTGAAATTAACGTTTTAAATAATTCATTTTGCAATAATGTACTCTGGAAATACTTAATTACATTGTACCTTGTATAATGAAAACATTAATGCATAAATACAAAGAAATTAAAATTAAAACCATGCAACATATACACTCATGATCCTACCCAAATATTAATTTTTTGTTTTTAATTGTTTAGAACTATATGCAATAATTTATATATTGCTCCCTAGTTCTTCCATTTATAAGTACTTTTCAATAGCTTATATTTAGGATAAGGATCTTGTGAATTAAATTTACAGTAACTAAAGTATCAGATATTAGTATCTGATTTAAGACTCTGATTTTTGCACTTTCAAATCATATACGTATTATCCCATTCAATAAAATACAATACAAAATAAAAAATGAAAGTTGTATTCTTACACTTCAAAGAATTTATAAAATTTAAGTTGTTAATTGGAAAGCAAATCAGATTGGATGTATGATATTTTTTCTACAAGTTTGTAATGACTACATACACAAATCTAATTTATAATTAATTAAATATGAAGAATTTTTTATATTAATGAGAATTTTTGCATTAATTGGATGTTTTAAATGAGATAATTCGAAATATACGTATACTTAAGTAACTTGTAGCTTTTAAGTCATTCCTATTATATAGTATTTCTGTAAAATATTTAATTTTGAAATATTAATGCATCACATTTAGAAATTCTAAACATGTGAATTATGCATGTTAACCATTGCAGTGGGATCACACAATTTTTTTACATTATAACATTTTTTAAAAATAGTATTATAAAATATATTTTTAATTTTAATAGCTTCAATTGTCAATTCAGTCAATTGTAATAAGGTACTTTTCTTTAAAATTGTATAATTAAAGATCCCATTGTATCATCAAGTTTTTGTAAAGAAACGATGTAATTGTGCATACTTCACCATAGAAACTAATTTACCATAGCATGTATGTATTATTTTAATACTTCCATTTATTTCACCAAACTGGGCATATAACTATCTCAAATGTATTCTACAAAATCATAACAATAAATAAATTTGTCATTTCACGAAACACAGTTCCTTAAATGCCTCAATAAAATTCAGAATAAAAGTTAACAATTTCCATTAATTTCTTAGAAAATCAGAAAGTATAATAATTCAAGTTTTACTTCAACTTTTATTACATAATAAAATCATAAACTTTATATGAAAAAGACTTTAGAAAAAGAAAAATCCCAATATTAAAAGGTAATAATACCATATTGTAAGTTATTAAATAAATTAGTTTATTTTTATTTCATTAATAAAGTACATGTTTAATAAATAAAATTTTAA